TGTGGTACTCATGCACTGTTTTCATGTGCAAGAGGAATCTATATTTCGAATCAAATCTCTTCGCACACCTTTCACATAAGTAATTCTTGAATACTTCGTGGAATACTTTTTTGTGCCTGAGTAAATTTGATTTATTTTCAAATTTTCTCTCGCATTTATTACATGAGTAATTTTTGTGATCTTTGTGAACTAATTTTTGGTGCGTAGACAAACTTGATTGTTTCACAAATTTTTTTTCGCACTTGTCGCATGCAAAATCTTTGCAGCTTTTGTGTACTGATATTTGGTGTCTACTCAAATGACTTCGAAACCCAAATGTCTTGTCGCACTTGCCGCAATTGTAATTTTTTCGATCATTGTGAATTGTCTCTCGATGTGTTATCATACTTGATTCTAGTGTAAATGCCTCCTGACAAATATCACAAACATATTTTTTATCGCCTGGAACAACAATGTCATGTTCATTCAAATTATCTTCAGTAACAACTTGCTCGAATTTCTTCTCACTTTTATACATGTTGGTGGTTAAATTAAAATTTGATCTGTCCATTTAGGGCCACAAAAATTCAATGAGTAAAATTTTGGTATAATGATTTGTTCCATCGGGAAAGACAACATTCAAACTAATTTATTTTCACTGTAAACATGATCAGTGTTTCGAGGGACTATGTCAAAATCGGTTATAATCTTATTGTTTATAATTGAGTTACCAATTTATATGTTTATAATTTCTCTTTGCAATATTTGCAACAATTTAAAATTATATCTTGGCGACAATTCCTCGGAGGAATTTTCATGTTCATTGAAAACTAAATACTTTCCGAAAAACTCCCGACACACAATATTGAGCTCACACAAAAAACATCGAATGAATAAATCGTCATATGAAACGAACTTGTAAAACCTTGATAGCAGTAGAGATATTTAGATATATTAAAGAGGTTAATGAAAATATTGTTTCGTGTTTACGTCTTTAATATAAATGAATATTATTTGTTTTCAACATATGGAAATCATTACAGAAAAGAACATTGTACAATAATTTGAAATTCGATGATAAACATTATTTTAAACGTCGGGTATGCACGCCGATAGTTTTCAGACTGGAAAAGTGACACTTTCAATGTGCTCAACAGAAAATTTGGCTCTGGTAAAAACAAGAAAACTAGCGGTCTAACTTAAAATCAAAGTTGATACACATGAAGAAATAATTTTCATGGTCATTTCAATTCCTATGAATAATTGATAAAATTCAAGTAACGCTAAAAACCGAAAGAAAAATTTACAAATTCTGAGAAAACTGTGCAGATTTGTATTTCCTATTGTCTTTCGCATTTTTTACTTAGAATTTTTAAAGACAAATATAAATCTATGAAATATCAAATGACAACATCAGCACTTTTTTTCTGTTGGAAATCTATTAATCTTCTCACAATTCACTGGATCTTTCTGCTTCGATTTGCTACAGTATTAATATAGGTGCTCTGCATGCGATGATGCCAAATGACTTATTTTTCTTGCATAAGTAACGAAAAATCATCATAAATACCAGTAAGATTACTATAATACTAGTAAATTTTAGACGTGACTTGTGATTGTTAATTTTTTAGCCATGTTCTGAAAAAGTTGCTACTTTGAACATTTTTAAAAAATTTCTTTATAATTCAGTTTTATTATTGCTCAAAATTAAATACATTACAAATTAATACTAAACACGACAAAAAGATACTTTTACACGTTGAAGATAAATAGACTTAATAGACATGTGTTACAAAAGACTATTCTATAACAAAGACTTAAAAACTAATAGCAATGTGTGCAAGGTAGCATGAAGTAAGAGTTTAGCACCAATGGCAGCCATAGTTAATCTATATTATATAATTTAGTAATACTTCAAAACTTTTTAAGGTTTTGCTCATCAGATCTAGTGAGGGGTCTGTAATAGATATATTAGCTACTGCCCATAAAATTTAATGTGATTTTTTATTTAAATTATTTCTAGTTATACGGAATAACATATGTTCAGCTACTTTAACCGTGGATGTTGCTTTATCTGACTTCGACTCGAATCAAAAGTAACTCGACTAATCAGAGGTCTTTTAAGTCAGATTGTCTATTGCTCAACGCTCTATATAAAATACACGATAAATTAATACTTAAAAATATATACAAATCATTCATATGTTTGAGCTTGAATCTCTTCCAGAAATCGTTCCACCAGGGATACACATCGTCGTATGTCTGTTCGTACAAACGCAATAATTCCTCGTAACTCATACATTCGGCTATTCGTCGGCAAGCGACGTAAGGAAGACTTAAATTACAATAATCAGTCATAAAGAGATCAGTTACGAACAATTCCAACTGTAATCTTATTAAGATGTTTGCCAAGTGTCTTTTTACAATTAGGTTTATCTCGGTACACGAAATGTCAGCCATTGGTGGTAGTTGCCAATAATTCAATTTTTTGATTATCGAGTAACCCTCGCTGTAGTTCATTTGACAAAGTTGATACAGCGAGACGTCATTGTTTAACATGATGTTTTCGATTTTCCAAACTTCCTCGGTCCAAATACGACGTTTTTTTTTAGGGTAAGGAAGAATCAATCTAAACATATTCATAGCCCCTATCAATTGTATTTTCTTGCATTTTTGACGAAAGAAATCCCTAGCTTCTGGATTCATATAAAAGCCAAACCTTTCGTGAACAATTAAGTTTTCAAACATTCCCATGATGGTGCGTGTGTTTTTAAAACACCCTGAATGAAAAAAAAAATTTAATGAGGAATAGAAATTATTACTTTTGTTAAAAAGAAGTTACTTACCAGTCAATTCGGGGATCAGATGGTCTGTGTCTATTCCTCGAACTCTCATGAAACATTTAATCATTCTAAGTCTTGAACAAAAGTTCATTCTGTATCCGACCGACTGCAAAAATTTTACCATCTCGATGAGGTTCAGCGCAAGAGGATAATTCTTCAATTCGGTCGATGTGAATTCTGCGCTGAACATTTTATCCTCGTTCAAATTGTCAAGACTCGCGCCGTAAGCCAGAAGTGACTTGACAAGCTGCACATCGAAACGAGAAACCGCCAAATCCAAAGGACTATCACCATGTCGATTGCGAGTTTCCATAATCGCCCCGCGATCAACGAGCATTTGAACTACTTTATCTACTGGTACTCGATGATCGCAAAATCTGAAGCCGTTGGTGCAAAGGCATAGACACAGCCTCGCAAGTGCGTGAAGTGGTGTCGACTTCTCCGCGTCCCGTTTGTTTGGATCAGCTCCGTGTTTCAATAAAATCTCTACTACTTCCTCGCGACGGTACTGGACTGCAATATGCAACGCTGAATACTTGTACGAGTCGAGATTTACATCCACGCCTTGGCTCAAGAGTAGATTTACTGCTGTCGCGTTGCCGGACATGCAGGCCCCGTGAAAATATGTGTAACCATAATCATCGTTCAAGTTTTCCCTTGGATTCTCCAAAAAATAGCCCATGAGACTCAGAGTAACTTGCTTACCGAAAATGAATCCATCGTTTGTCTCGTAGACCGTCTCAGCCAAATAATGAACAGCGGACTCTCCAAGCCATCTGAACTCGTGTTTATCCAGTGGGCTCGACTCGATCAGTCGTACCATTTTCAAGCTGCGTCGCTTCAACGCGAATTGGAAGAATAATTCTTTATTACGTTCGACATTCGGAAACAAACTCGCACAGTTCATTAAATCCACCAAAACTCTGGCCATTAATTCGTTTTCTTCCGCCTTTGACCAAGTATTCAGTATGTTGATAAATGCTACACGTCTATCGTTCAATTTTTTTAAACTTTTCAAACGATTTTTGTATTCCGACAAAAGAGATAAATATGCATCGTCGTTATTTATTGCCATTTTCAATTGACAACTGTTGACAAGATTAAGAATTTAAAGTATAACACTGCGAACACTGGTCGATAAACGTTAAAAACCTCAAGCACGTGGTCGGCGTCACTATTACACAGCACTGACACTTACAAGTAGCGAGGCTAGTATAGTATATCACGCGAGAAACGGAGTTTTTACTCGACGCAACGAAGATAAAGCGAAGATATGAACGCGTCGCCACGTACTTAATGAGAAATTACAGCTCGCGACAACCGACACCAAAATTCGACATCTAATACACGAAAAAAACGACATCTCGAGTGAATATCATAAACTGCACGTTACGAAGTATACTATAGTATGACTCGCATCAAAGATCGTCGGAGCAAAAAGAGAAAGTTGACGAGCACGTGTGGGCTCGCGCGCCATGTATACTAATAGAGAAAAATTGATCGTTCATCGGTTAGCCTGCTTCAATACAAGCGCATCTGCCGCTTTAGCTCGTGCCGACGAGGCTTCGGACGTATCACGAATCCGACTCGATGCTTTATCCAGATAGCGAGAAAATTCGCGTTTGTATTAATCCGAGATCGGAGTCGTATCGCCTCGAGTTTCAATTTACGCGCTCGCTCTCCCTTCGACCACCTACGCGGCATGATTCATTACGGTTACACGGCAATATATAGAGTTGAAAGCGTCAAGATATCGTTGTATGCAAATCGCGCGTAATAACTCGGGCGCGCAGTAGCTGCACTCCATTGTCTTTTTAATCGTTCCCCGAGCTTCGAAAGCTCTAAGCGCTATACAATTCCACTATATAGATGTATATCAAAAAGTTTATTGTTGTCGTTGCAGCTGTAACGGAGGTAATCTCGCCTTTTCGCAAGGGACGCAGAGAAAGCTCAAACTTCGAAATGTTGCGTCTTCGTCCGTACATATATTTTATTTAGTTTGCAATTCCCATTGCGCACGTGAATATATAGTCAATTAAGCGAAACAACTAAACGAACTTTTTACGCCCGCGTCTGAAATACCGCATCGATCGTATGCAATGTATACATCAAGTTTCCTCTCTCGTTATAAGTTGGGCGACGATTTAACAAGACGCATCTCTCTTTCTCTGCTTTCAGGCGCAGTCCACGAGTGGATGATCGCTGTATTCGATCGCGGACAAAATGTCACGGCACGGATCGAGAGGCCATCGACCACGACGACAATCCGCGTGACTATCGACCGCCGCAGCGACCGCGAGAAGACGAGAGAGAGAAGAGCGAGCAAGAACAGGAGGAAGAAAAAAGGAAATGCCACTGCGATCGCGAAAAACTGGAGCACGCGAGGGTAACGGCGACAAAAGAGTCACGATCGCTTGCGTAAGGATGAAGGCGATATCGACGATGATACGCCATAACGAGAGGAGAAGATGATTGCCAGTCGGAAAATTGGTCAGCCGCGCGAGCCACGGCTACCGACCGGTCGGATTTTATAAACAATAACACGATACTGGTATACGGCGCTCGACGCGCGATCGTGCAGTCTGCAAAGCGTACCTGTATAATATCAACACGAGAGACAACACACACACTTACTTGCGTACGCGCGCACAGGACGAGACAAAGTGTGGATACAACGCCGAGGTTATCGCCGTATATAATCACGCGTACGATTAAAAGGGTGACATCGTTACGATTGCGCGCGTAAACATATCAGTTATATACACATCAAAAACAAATCTCGCTCGATTGTCCAAGGCGCCAATAGGTGTAACCCCCAAGGCGGAGAAGAAGACGACGAAGCGGAAGAGAAAAGACTGAGGAAACTCTGACCGAAGAATCAGAGGAATGTGCGTTAGATAGACGTGTCGACTTGTATTGATAAACAACAAAAAAAAGAAACAGTATTACGAGTGTGTGTGTGTGTGTGTGTGTGCGCGCGCGAATATTCATGAAGAAAAAGAGATATACAAAAATCACGAATCGGACATATCACTGGCCCGCGCACCGATGAATCTATAACCGAGCTGTAGATTGATAAACTCGAGGTGCGCGACGATACTTTTGGGGGGGATTTTTTTTCTTACTTCAAAAAAAGTCTGCTTTAGTGTGATTCGAAGAAAAAAAAATAATCGACAATAATAACGATCAGTGCGTGAGTGTGAAAAAAATTAATTAAATCAAATAACTGCGAGTATAATAATAAAGTGTGTAAGTGTGTTTGTGTGTGTATACGTGTTTTGCCTATGAACAGGTGTGCGTCTGTGTGCGTGCGCGAGTTGATACGACTTAATTAAGTTCGCCGCGCGCGTCTCGTCTGTCTCGCGCGCGAATCGCGAATACACATTTGACCGTATATCATATCCGAAATATGGGTTGCGGACAGAGCAAGATCAGCAGCGACGGTTCGAAGAAAGACAAGAAAAGCAAGAGCGGCTCGAAACGCAATGGATTCTCGTCGTCACGTGAGTATATTTCATTATTTTTCTTTTTGAGCAAAAAAAAAAACAATAACAATGATAAACGTATAAATATCGGAATTTTCTATTCTTATGTCGCGAGTGTACGTATACGACTTTCAAGAGCGACGGACAGCGCGCGCGAAGAGAAAGAGAGAGAGAGAGAGAGATAAAGCGAGGAAAGGAGCCGCGCGAAATATTATTTGTTTTATGCAACTCGGAGTCGCAGATGTGTCAAACAAGTTTCGCGCGCGCGGATGATATATCGCTTGTGACGTAAAACTTTTTAACCAGAAAATCGTCCGGAATATCTTTACCGATAATTTAAACTCTCTCTCTCTCTCTCTCTTTCTCTTTCGCTGCACGTATCCGAGACTCTTTTTCTCGTACAAGCTTTGCGTATGAAAAACTTCGAAAAAAAAATTTTTTTTTTTGAGAGAGGATGAAAAACTTTGTACCTCGTGCAGTAGCTCCAAGTTTACATCGAAGAGGTACATTTTGCCTGGCGCAAACTATATACCGAAATTACGGCGAATTTTTTTTTGGCCCCATTGTGTATAGTAGTACACTTCTTTGGGCCGGGATGGAGAAGGGCTCGGGCACTTTAAAACTCCGAACGAGCTTTCAGTCTTAATAGGACGCAGCAGCAGCAGCCCCCTGAAGTGCAGAGCTTCCCTGTTTTTTTTTTTTTTTTTAAAGAAAATCGAAATAACGACCCTCGACGCCCCGTTAAGGAGCTTGAGCACATAATACGTAGAAAAAATTTTCGCTGAATCTCTTTCGACCCTCACCNCCCCCCCCTCGACAAAAAGCGCGTAACTTTATCGCCCCCCGCCGTATACAAACTCATGATGCAATTTCTCTCTCTCTCCCTCTCTCAGGGCACTGGGATTGTATAGTACATGTAGTACACGTCAGTGTGTGTAGTGCGGCGCGCGCTGATATACAAGACTTTTCATTTCCCAGAGTAGTCGCCGCTTGACGCGCGCCCGCCAAAGTTTGACGCTTGTAATATATAAAAAAAAAAAAAGAATAAGAAAAGTTAGGACGCGCAAAGGCAATTAAATTAAGGTCAAAACTCCATCAAGGAAACTTTTTTTTTGCTGCTGCCGCCGCTGCTGCCCGAATGGAAATTATTTACGCGCGGCTCGCGCTCGAGTTGCGCGCAGCGATTTTCAACCAATAATAACGAGCGATGATAAACTAAAAACAGAAAAAGTAAACGGGGAAAAAAAAATCTCTCGTAATTCGAATCAAGCTCGCGGCAGCGATGAAAACGACTCGAAGAAGACGATGGCGACGAATTCTTTTTATTACATATATGTAGGTCATTCGCGCGACCGCGCGCGCGAAACATCGGATCGAGGTGAGATCTTGAAGAAAAAAAAAGTTACAATAAACATCGCCGAATAAGCGAGTGGTTGATGCATAATTAAAGATCTTGCGACACAAAAGAGGTGCCTAATGCGCGCGCGCCTCTGTATACAATAAATTAATTTTTAACGACGGAGCGACGGCGATTCGTCGCAATAAAATCGCGATAAGCTCGCGCGCGTGTTCGCGCTCGCTTCGAAATTTTGTAATAAATTCATAAGTCTCGAGGCATAATGCGGATATCGTAAGCGAGGGGTTGTATATCAAGACGGATCGAGAGCCTTACGTAGGTTTTATACGTACGAGGAAAAGAGAACCGATCGATCATCGAGCGATATAGGCGCGATCGATTATTCATTGCGTTATACTTTCGCGATATCCGAATCTCGGCATTTTATATAGCCCCGCACACACACACACACACACATGCTGCATCTAGTTTGTATCGATGCACACGATTTTTATGCGGATGTCGAGATTCATTATCGCGTGCACACATTATGCAGTTCATTATTCATCGTGCGGCTCGTGATAATCATCTGGTTAATTTCTTTTGTGTCTTCTCTCTCTCTTTCTACTTGCGTATTATACGTAATAATAAAAACGTGCGAAAACTCACGTAGTCCACGAATTGCGTTTTGTAAAACCAGAGAGATTCTGCCGATGCTGCTGCTCCTATACCGCTGCGTGCGCCAATTTAATTCTTACAGCGGTGGATTAGAAGCGGGCGAGATAAAAAAAAAGGCAGCGAGAAAAGAAAGGAAAAAAAAAATAATAATAACGACGCACGAACGAGATGCAAAGTTATAATCGCGAAATTCGTGTTATTACTCGTGTTTTGATAACGATAAAACATTTAGCTCGAGCGCGCGCGGAGAATTGGACTTTGTGGCGCTTTTGTTATTATATCGACAAAAAAACAACAACATAATTGAAACGTCGGGCGAGCTTTGGAAAAATAAAATGTTACTCTCTCGTTCGTTCGTAACTAATTTTCTCTCCATTGTACATCGCGAACCTTCGTCGTCGCACCGTGCCGAGGATGTAATAAAAGTCGATAATTAGCTTTTCGATTTGAATAGAGAGACGGACTGTATGGGTTTTGCTAGATAAATTAAAACTTTTACGCGGCTGAAAAAAAAAGAACCGGATTAACCATTGAGCGCTGATTACTTCTCTTTTACATCGGCTTGAATCAATTTGCGATTTGTGACGACGTACATATATCAATTACGTGTATGAAACGATTGTTCGATAGAGTACAAAAAAAAAAAAAACAGCGACATCTCTTTCTCATTACGCACCCTGCGTACACGCAAATTTTCCCGAAAATAACACACACACACAAAAAACTCGGCGATAAAATCGACCGCTCGATTAACGCTTAATTCATCATTTATCGTCGTTTCCGTTCGTCCATAAAAATACCACAAGTAGCTATATGCGAATCATCGATTTACTCTTTTTCGGTTCTCTTTTTTGCGCTTCCTCGTTAAGTGACGGCAAATTATTACACCGAAGCCAGTCGTCAGATTTTCCACGTATCGCACCTGGTGCGCGTTCGATTAAACATCAGGTATGCGCGTCCGATGTGTATAACATCGAATTATGACGCCGCGCTCGTTCGCGTGTATTGATATTTGTTCAGGCTTTCTCGGGCTCTCTCTCTATATTTTCCATTCGCGTACGGATGAGTTTATAAGTTCGATTTGTGTGTGTGTGTGTGTGTGTATTTGTTGTATATATATTTATACGCAATTGGTGTTATTATCCAACGACTCCTTGAACGTGGCTTACTAGATCTCAATCGCGTTACGAATAATATCGATCGACTCACCCACGAATATAATTATAAATAATCGTTGATAAAACAAAAAACGATATCAGCTTATATGCACCATCGTACATTATATCTTTCACGTGCTGCGTGTCATTATTAGTTCTTGTGTGTGTTTTTTTTCTCACTCACTCCACATTGCGTTGCAAAATTCATGTAGATCGAAATCGGAGATCATCGGAACAGCCGATCCCTCCTCTCTCTCTCGTTTCTCGGTCTTTTGTTGACGACGCACACGGACTTCTTTGTAAATAAACTTTGCGCGCGGCTCGAGATAAAAATAATATTCGACGCCTCGAGCGGCTGCTCTTCCGATATATATATTATTACTTCGTCTTTTTCCTTCATTTTGGGGCTCTTTTCGAGACGCGCGATATGTAATAATCGCGACCGCGTGACACCGATGAAATTGCACGAGAATCCGTACAGACGTGCAGAGCGAAAAAACTTGGAAAAAAATTTAACGTGCATTTTATGCAAAATAAGACACTGAAATGGAAATAACTGATGCTGGTTTCCTTTTAAGTACGTTCGCATAGAACTTCGTTAAAAATTGATGAATCAGTGCTGAATACTTTTTTTTACCTAAATTGCACAAAAAAATTCATAAAGATACAAACATAATAATGATTCTCAATGCAATGACACTTAATTCTAATCTTTCAATACTGATTTATTTTCTGCTCTAACTTTTCGAAAAATGTACGAACGTTCAATTACAATTAGAGACGCAGCCTTCGCCGCCAGATGGCGAGTACCACTATCTGGAAATCCGCAAGTGACAAAATGGAATTGAATGTATAAGTCAGAGCATGGTTCTGTCAAAATGAAATTCGCCTGATAGGCTTCGTCTATTTTCTTCTAAATGTAAAATGGCCCGTTAATTGATACGCGCCAAGTTTGTGCACGCGTGAAGGCAGTGCGTCCCTCTCTCTCTTGTTATACACGGCCTGAACGATATATAGACAACGTGTAATAGTTCGCGTCTGGCGCCAGGCGCTTGCAAGCCGTGAAAATTTGTTTATACGCCCAACTGTGTTTCTAGGACGTTTCGCTTATACGTACGCGTATAAAAAGAAAACAATAAATGCGACGGCCTCTATTCCGTTGTTTTCTTGCAGACGTTCGCGATTATCCACTAAACTATAAGGCTTTTCGCACCTTGAGATCGTTACCCGTATTACGAATCAAGGCAGGATGAATAAAAAATGGAATTTTGTCTTCTCTCTCTCTCGTCTGCTTGTTTGACTTTTCGAAAAGTTATTTCACAAAACAATATTCATTTATAACAGCCAATCGACTTCTTAATATTATTATACTGCGGAAAGCAATGAAAAATTATATTTTCAGTGCATCGACGCAGCTCCGGAGCAAAGAAAATGGGATGTTTATCCATCTACGCCGGATTTTTGTATCGCTCGGTACAAGGTATATACACGCGGATCCGCGTCGTCTGCTTTAGTTTTGTACCGAGTCGGCCTTGCGCGTGTACGTAAGCTCTCTGTATTATATAGACCTTATGTAAATACCCGCGACATATATAGCGCGCGTTTCGTATATCGGACACATGCTGTAACGTTATTATACAGATATATGTACGCGGCCGGAGTTCACGAGTGCGCGCGCACTTGGGCCAAGTTGACGGTCCGAGTTTCCATGCGTGCATGGGATCTCTGTCACAAGGTCGATGTACTCGGCTTGAAAAAAAAAGAAGAAGAATCGAATCGAAAACTCTTCGAGTGAAAGTCGCGTCCAATTACGAGCCATCTAATTATATCAATCGGAAATCTTTGAA